CTCTCCTTCGGCGGCGCCCGGCGTTGCTCGCGGCTGCAGCCTCCGCTCGAGCCGAGCCGGGGCGCCCTTCCTCGCCCCTCCGGCCCGCGCTCAAAACCCACCACCTCCTCTCTGCCGCGGACAGGAGCCGGCGAGCGAGAGTCGCGGGAGGGAGACTCTCGGGACGACCAGCCAGGAGCGCCGCGGCGTCACGCCGCGCCGCCGCCGGCCGTGCCGAGAGCCCCTGGCCCTTCCAGCCGGGGCCATGAACGGCTCCTCGCTGCTGGGGAACCAGACCGAGGGGATGGGGCTGCTCCTGGCCAACAGCAGTGACTCCCTGGAGCTGGTGCTGCGCTCCTTCACGCCGCGGGCGGTGGTGACCGACGACGGCTTCGTGGTGACGGCGCCGGACGAGAGCGCCGCCGCCGGCCGTGCCGAGAGCCCCTGGCCCTTCCAGCCGGGGCCATGAACGGCTCCTCGCTGCTGGGGAACCAGACCGAGGGGATGGGGCTGCTCCTGGCCAACAGCAGTGACTCCCTGGAGCTGGTGCTGCGCTCCTTCACGCCGCGGGCGGTGGTGACCGACGACGGCTTCGTGGTGACGGCGCCGGACGAGAGGAGCCTGTACATCATGCGGGTGGTGCAGATCGCCGTCATGTGCGTCCTCTCCCTCACCGTCGTCTTCGGCATCTTCTTCCTCGGCTGCAACCTGCTCATCAAGTCCGAAGGCATGATCAACTTCTTGGTAAAGGACAGGAGGCCGTCCAAAGAAGTGGAGGCGGTGGTGGTGGGACCCTACTGACCTCCGCTCGCGGCTCCCCCCCAACCCCTTCACCCCTTCGGAGCCCGCCGAGCCCCGCCGGACGCTGCTGTCGCCAGGACTCGGAAGGGGGGCCTTGTTTGTTGCCTTGTCTTGGAACTCCTTCCTTCGGGCCCCGGTAGGACACCTTGGGAAGACTGGCGGGATTGGGAAGCAGACTGAGAGTCGTCCTCCCTCCTCCGCCCTTCTTCCTCGAAAGGATCGTGCAAGATACTCAACAGAAAGCCAGATGTAAGAAACAAAGTGCGTTTCCTTTTGATTCCTTGGGAAGGGAGCGACCCGCGTCTTCTGCTGAACGTCTGGAGAGATGGAGGAACATCGCTAGCTTCGAGTTGCACGGGGCGGACTTGGGCTTGGTTGTGTAGTGGGAAGGCGAGGGGTGGCTTGGAGTGCGTGAGATTGAAAGAGAGAGAGAGAGAGAGTAATGAAGCCGGTAAGCCTTCTCATCTGATTGTGTGTGTGTGTGTGTGTGTTGTAAATAGCGATGTAAATGCACACAAGAGTAAACATTCCCAACTTTGCTGCTTTATTTTTAAAGGGAGGGGACGGCATAAAGAAAAGGAACGGGCAACTTAGCTGTAACATTGATTGTAAATCTATCTAAGCTCTCCTGGACATTTTCTGACTGAATGTGGGGGGTGGGGAGCAGGCACATTACAACATTAAGGAAGTCAACTTGTGGTGCTTTTTGGAATGCATGTGTGTGCATATTAGATCCAGTGTTCAGTTTCTTATTTGTAACAAACGATACCAGTGCTCATGTAGGAATGATAAGGGTTTTTTTGGGTTGTCTACTTTCTACTGTAGCTCTCTCCTTTTTAAAACTGTATTCTGTTAAGGTCCAGTCTGTATTTTGAACCTATCAGTTCTTGACGCTTGTCTGCTGCTGGTCTGCTGCTGAAAAGCCAGCGTGCTTGATTGCTGCTCTCACAACTTTATAAATTGCATCAGTTTACACAGCCAAAACAAAAAACAAAAACTTTGATGGTCCTTTTTTTTCTTATTTAATTTGCTTAAATAAAATGTATCTGAATCTTCTCAGGGGGCCTCCTAGTGTAGCTCTTTCCTTTGAAATTCACCTTGCACTTCTTGCTAGATGGTGTGAGCATCTGGAGGGCCCATCGTTTTGCAACCTAGGGATCATGTTACAGATAAAGTTGCAGTGAACAAGGAAATGCAAGAGAAGGTGTTCAAAGCTTAACAATACAATTCCTTAGATATGTCTGTGTGGAAGTTCAACTTTGTTCAATAGGATGTACTCCCAGGTATGTGGGTTTAGGGTTTACCACTCAGAACAGAGTAACTCATTGATTGTTGTTTTGTGCTGTCATGTCACTTATGACACACAATGACCCTAATAGGATTTTCAAAGCTCAAAGATTGGTTTACTATTGCCATCTCTCTTCCTCCATGGGTTTCCATGACTGAAAAACTAACTGAGATCTCTTAAGTACGGCATTCTGCCCACTCTGTTTTGTTGGCTGCCTACCGTATAGATTAACATAAAATACTGATCAGATACATTGTGTATGGCATTGTTAAAATATCCCTTGCTTACAAGGGAGACAGAGAGAAAGGGTTCCTACTGCGAGGTTAATACAGACAAATTAAAGTAAAGGTAGGCGATTCCTCCTCTTTCTCCCCTTCTCCCTCTCAGAAAGTATGCTTCTTATCTATAAGGAAGCATGTTTCCAGGAGAAAGATCTGTGGAAAGATAAAGCTTCTGGCATGGAAATAATCCATCTGGGACAACATGTGCTGCTAATGATGAACAGTAAAAGGTAGTGATTTTTCTGTTTGTGCAATTATTTATAGATAGGAAAGTGTGATGAGAAAGCCCATATTGACTGTGTCTGGCCAGTTGATTGAACCTGGAAAGTGTGATGAGAAAGCCCATATTGACTGAAACCATGTCTGGCCAGTTGATTGAACCTGCCGTGTGTAACAAGCCCAGGGCTGCCTAGTTCAAACTGTGATCTTTATATTTGCAGCTGAAAGCTGCAGAGAAAGGAACAGAAGAAAGGGGAAGCCATCTTTCCCTTTGCTCTTCTTTCCACATAGAGTGCAAAAGGCATCTTTAAAAACTTTGTTAAAGACAATGGGATTAGGAGTTAGAAGGATTTACAGCTCCTCAGATATATTGTAACAGATAGGAGATGTCTCTAAGAGGAGTAACAATTCTTAAAAGTCCAAACAAACAAACAAACCCCACAACTTTCTGTATGCCATCTCCATTAGAGAAAAGATATCCAGCATGGTGTACTAGTGGGTGGAGTGATAGAGTAGGAAACCTGGGTTTGAATCTCCACTTGACGGTGAAAACCCATGAGGAAGGGGGTGGCACTGATAAAACCACTCCTTCATATCTCACTCTGAAAGCCCCATTAGGGTTGCTGTATGTTGATTCCAACCTGATGGCACGTAACACACATATACACACAGCCAGGAAATGCAATGTGGGGCGATGCTTGGTTTTAAGTTCTAGTTCATCTTTTTTTGCATTACACATTTCTATTAAGTCAGCTGTGACCCTGATCTCAGTATACATTTAATTCCTATAGCATCCAGCTAAACCAAAATAGATTATTTAATAGCACTAGTTGAAATGTGTAAGTAATATTTGGTGGACAGAAGGAATCCTACTTACCCTTTAGCTATATATATAGCTAAAGTACGTGTATATATCTATAGCTATATATTCCTATATCTATCTATCTATCTATCTATCTATCTATCTATCTATCTATCTATCTATCTATCTATCTATCTATCTATCCATCTATCCATCTATCCATCTATGAGTCTGCCAGGAGACCGACCAACTGACTGATCGATCGACTGACCGACTGATCTATCTATCTATCTATCTTGAATGGTGCAGATGTCTGTTGAAGGTGATTATAAATGTGATTTTGGGATATGTATGTTCTGTATGTACAAGATGGAAAAGGAGGCAGGCAAAATGTGGGAGGTGAGCCAGAAGCTTAAAAGCAAAGAGAGCAGGGCAGGACAAAATAACTACAGCAGTTGTGGAAACAGTGGAAAAGTGATGCATAGAAGACAAATCAGAACTCAGTGACTTAGGTACCTGGCTGCGGTTGGGAGCCAGAGGTTGGGAGTTCAATTCCCCACTGTGCCTCCTGAAAGTAGAACCACCCTGTTTGACTTTGGACAAGATACACAGTCCCACGATGCCCCCAGAAGAAGAGAATGGTAAATAAGTCCTGTGTATTCTCTGCTTGGAAAATCCTGAAAAAGGGTTCCCATAAATCAAAATTTACTTGACTGCACGTTGTTATTATGCAACATCATATGGTAAGATATGAGCTGATCAAGTTAATTCTCATCACACATTTAAGGTTCAAAACTGGGGTCTTGAAATGCATGCAACAAGCAAGAAGAGGTAAGACTAAATCCCAGCAAAACTCTGATCATACTATATTTCACTCGCATTCACCTCCATTTTCATTGGAGTTACAGATATCCATTTGGAATGTAAGTCTATCGCCTTGATCTTCCTTTGAGAGTGTATATTGGGGGGGGGACCTCCTTAATTCTAAAGAGAACATGTTTCTCACAGCGACAGAAAATGTTCAGATTTGAAATGTTAAAATTGAGCAGGATTTGTTGTTTTGCATTACAGTGTGTTGTTGGCTGTCAGGCCAGCTGTCTTCAATGTGATGCTCTCCAGATGCATTGACGGGATGATGGGGTTGTATTCCAACACAACTGGAAAATCTAGGGTGTAGAAAGTGAGGACGTAAGAGCTCAGTTGTACCTATGGGAGCACTATGTAACTTCCTAATCTCAAACATGGAAGAACAGGCAAGTTACCCAGGAAAAAAGACACACTGCACAGACTGATATGCGTTATACTACGCTGTACATGTTTTAGGATTAAGTCATAGCTAAAAATGTATTTGCAGCATTTAAAACCTGCTTTGATGTGCATACGTAAAAGTGACTTCTATTTATAGCAAAAAAGGAGTAGCATTTAAAACCTGCTTTGATGTGCATACTTAAAAGTGACTTCTATTTATACCAAAAAAGGAGAGAGAAATCAACAAATTACAGTAATACATAAAGAACCCAGAAATCAACACCTTGCCGTAGAGTTCAGAACAACAACAACAACCAAAACACACATTTAAAAAAAGGCTTCTTTTTAAAGACAGATCTTAAATGGTATGTCAGAGGTACTTGCTAAAAAGTGAGGAGAAACAGGGAAAACTTCCCTGGGCAGGATAGTCCAATTGCATAAGGCAACCAGCCATATGTCTGGTAGATTCATATGGCTGGAGATATGTTGAAAGATGCTCTGCCTCCTCATTTAGGATTTGATTCCTTTCTGCTTTTGAACAAAGAAAACAAAAAAATGCTTTGCATTTTGCTCGGAAAACAAGACAGACTCATCACCAGCTGATATGAAAAGGAGTTATCCATTGCAGACTTCCAGCTTCTGCAAACACCCTGGCAGACACATCAATTAAGCAAACAGCTGATTTCTCTGGGGAAAGGAACAGAGGGGAGAATACAACACAGCTTCAGATTCAACTACTTCATCTCCCTTATACCAACATCTTTCTAACACACTGCATTTCTTAAGACAGTGGGGCAGGGACCTCCAAAGTGGGTGAGCCCATTTTCAGGTAAGACTTCCATGGTACAGCCCATACTGTCCGTTTAGATAGGGAAAGCTGAAACTAGATGGGGGTGGGCCAGGATAGGTTACACTGTATGTGTGAACAAATAAATAAATGACAGTGGTTAGTAATAATTTTCACATTTGCCTGGACAGGAGGAAGAGTATATAAAATGCTAAATCCTTCACTAAAGGCCTTTAAATCACCAGATTATTCTGGAAATGAGGGGGCTGAGTCATTATACTCCCTGAGCCTCTGCCTGCATTTGATGAAAAATGAATCGTGGCACTCCCTGCTACAAGGGAAATACTCTCAAATATCTCTTTGGAATTTCAGATCCTTCCTTTTCCAAGAAAGGTTTGCATGCAGAATAGGTATGTGACTCTGCTCAACATGCTGTGCTGCCATTAGAGGAACAGGCCTGCCCCCAAGAAGGTTAGTCCTGTGGAGGATTTGCTCCACAGACTGTATCCATGGGTTGCTTTGACCGTACTGCTCCTTCCTTAGGTTAGCCACGTGTCCTACTTTACAGATAAGTAATCTTGACTTGACTGCTACTTAAATGTGCCTTCTATTTAAAAGTGTGTACAACCTGAGTCCAGTTTAAAACAAAGGACAATTAAGAAGGGAGAGCATGAGTCTTTCGGTGGCCAGACTGCATAGAGTAGGGTGAGAAGGCACATCGATCATCCAGTCACAGTTTCCTCTTGAAGTGTATTTCTGTTTAAATTAGGTTAATTATTCCCTGCAAGTCTATGTGGCGTAGTTGGCAGAGTGTCAGATTAACACTGCTTAGCCATGAAAACTCACTGACACAGACAGCGTTCTGACTCATCACCCATCTGGACTGAAGTCTACTCTGGGAGGCTAACAATAATAATAATATGGAACAGCACATGCATCATTTGGGAAGTGCAAGGCTCCCTGCCTTCTAAATTTTCAGAAACCGATCTGCTCTTTGGGAGCCATGCGCAACTAGTGACATTATGCCTCCCTTTTGCTTTTGGGGGGGTCCATTTCAGCACCCACCACATGACTTCCCTGTTTGAATAGCTGAAGATACAGTGGCTCCACATTTGAACCTGGAAAAGATGTGCAGAGGGTGTTCTCAGCACCGTCAAAGCTTACACAAAACAAAACTGGTGTGAAAGAGAAGAAGGACAGAACGAGACGGGGAGAAATGATTTGGGGTGATTACTTTATGAGCTATGCTTCAAAATGTATTGGCTGCAACCTGGAACAAGACACTACTAAATGGTGCTATTGTAATAATAATAATAAAAAGTAATAGAAAGCATGAAGGGACTGTATTCTGCTCTTTCAAGGCGGCATGCCTGGTCACTGCAGGTCGCTGATTGGAGGCAA